ACTCATGCTGGTTAGAGCAGTGATCGGCAACTTTTTTCAAGTTGATGGACGGGGAAAGCCTGACCAAAATTTTGGGGGACCACCTCATACAAACGAACTAAGCTTATGTAATAAATTATACGCGTTAGAAAATTTATGTTAACAATACATTCAAAAACAAAGGTGATGCTATTCAATGTGAGATATGCATTTGTTTGCTGGTCATTAATCGTACCGAAGTCGGTGATTTGATCGATAGTGATTCACGTAACCAGGCGCGCAGTCAGGATTTTCAAATAGGAAAAATTTTGAAATTGGAAATTCGCATTCTTTTATGAAACAGTCGCCGTGATTACGCGCTTGTTAAGAGAGTCGAGTTTTTCAGCGTGTACCGACTTTTCTGTCCCGTAAAATATTCAATTCATGACAACTACGAAAATCTGTAATTTATTTTTATATTAATTTAATTGTGTCCAACGAAACTCACAGTCTTCTTGCGTCAAAACATAAACATTACCACTCTAAAATGTCACGTCAATCTGTTGCCGTAAAAATATGCGGCAAACTGCCTTATTGTTGTATTTAGTTTTGATACACCGTCAGAAAAATCCCAAGATCTGATATGAAAAATCCCGTTGAGTACAATTCAATACATATAAAGTATATTAGTAATGCAAAAATACAAATTAATCGCCGAGAAATCACCGCGGGACGACTTTTTTAACGGATAGTAATGATTTTTCTGTTGTTCAAAGTAATCAATCCATTGCCGATACGGGCATATTTAAATGTATTGGTTTATTAATTTAATTGTCTACAATTTAACCTGTGGTTGCGTCGATTGCGTGATTGGGATGTCATTCCAGAAAATTTTTCGTGTCTTAAAAAAATTAGTAACTGCATTACTCTCCATGTTTATGCCATATGTCCATACGCTCCACATATGCGTGTCAACCTTTGTTCTAAGTTATGAACTTTATTAAGTCTCATAATAGGAGTAGCCTGAAAGATGAAACCAGTAGTTTGTTGTATTTCTTAGAGAGGTACAATGTATAAACCCAATGTAAAATCTCTATCAGCGGTAATGCAGCAGCAGAAGTCTCACTGATATTGAATAAGAAAAGTAATCAAATCTGTTTGTCGGACTGATATTTTCCCGAATAGTGAATCTGTCTGTACAAGTTTAAAAGGTTTATTATTGTGCATTTTTTGCTCTGTAAGTAGCAAAGCATTGTTTTTGATTTTGATCGGCACGCAGAAGAATTTTATCATCAAATTTAGCCGATTTTGGCACGCGAGCCGAAATAGGTTGCCCACCCCTGTCATAAAGGAAGCTTTGTGTTGTTTGTCTTGTCGCCAAAGTTTTATTGTACGGGAAATACGGGAAAGAATTCAAAGTTAAACGAAGCTTGAAGGGTGAGTGCTTCGCACACTGTGACGTCTGTAATTGTGACATTTACCTGGAGCCCATAGGCAAGCCAGCCATTTCTGCTCACAATGCAGAAATTTTTTCAGTCGTCCTTATTTCGGGTTCCAGATCAATGGAATCCCTGACTATACAAGTCTGAGGTCATACTTGGTCATTTTATCTCACCCCACATCCTCATGGATTCTAGACGTTAGCTGGCAGTGATGAGTTAAAATTATAGCATTGCTATCTAGAAAAATATCAATATACATATGGATATAGTCAGATGTGAGCAGTATGGTATTTATTTTGTTTTGAATATGATCGTGAATTGCGGTTGGACGCTGCTGATGATTATGATTTGATACAACGAATTTCACTGAGCTCATTTATTTTTAAAAGTATATTATTATGGAAGCATGTGTCTAAAGTCACAATGTAATCAAATTAGTCTAATTTTACAAATAATGCGAGGCAATCCCTACCCAAGTTTTGGATTGTGTCGCCAAACTCCGCGTAAAAGCTATTTGATGCAACTCATATTTTTGATTCATAACACGGAATTCATAATATCGGAATTTCGAGGACAATCAAGAAAATTATTTCGTTGCCGTTTTCACTGGACTTTGACAACAAAAACTTGATTAAATACTTTTTATATCAGTGTAATATATATTTTTTATATCAGTATAATTTATATCAGAGCAAAACAAAAAACAGAAAAATTATTAATCTTCGGAACCTGATTTCTCATTAAAGTATTGAATAATGTGCTAAGAAAAATTGTTTAATGTAACAATGGTGTAAAATTACTTGCGAAGAAGCGAGTGTTCGTCTGTTTGAAGGAGTACGTAAAGTTTGCATTTTAAAATTCCGTGGAAATAAAAGAGATTCTAAGAATAAACCTGAATAACACGCTCTGTAACATCTGATTACGGTTGTAATCTGTAATCCGTTCTCGTGTATTTGGTTGAAGGAACTCGTAAGAAGATGAATGATTAAATTTGAACAATGCGAAAAGTGTTTTTAGTCGCCTGATGTAAAAGTATTTTTAGTCGGACAACAATGCGGTCCATATGATTGACGTAGTCACCACCATTAACATGAAAAACAAATGACCGCAAAGTTGACAACAACTTCAATATATTCGGTTGGTGCCGTAAATTAACAATTGAACATTGTTCTAATACAATTCAGAAAAGATTCGCTTGTCTAAAATTTATGTCTTACATAATTTGATTCACAAGTGATTGTTTGATTGCAATCATAAGTCAATACAAATAAATTTTTATATTTATATATTATTTTTATTTCAATCCGTACTTCCTGTTCATTTTTCATTATATTCATCAATATGGCACTACAATTAATTTAATTTTTCGTTAGTTGTGCAATATTTGGTATTGATAAAATTTAATCAAATTATAACATTAATAACTAAAAATAATTTTTTGTGTAATATCTAGCTGATGGCTCTTGATTTTATTCAGATTTTACGTTTCTAACATATTTTAAATATTTTTAACGAAGTCTTAGCTAGATTCTAATTGAAAGCCAATATTTATATCAAAATTTACACATTAGAAAAATTGTCTTTACAAAACGTTTCGTTACACGGTCGTAAAATAAAATTTTCTTTGCATTATTAATTTTAACTCAAAATTATTTGGTTCCGCATGTATTAAAACGATATTAATCTTTTGAATGTTGTTTCAACTTTGTCCTAGTTATAAAATAAATCAGTAATATTATTTTTATCATAATTATTCTACTTAATTAAACATTTCTATACGCAAACACATGATGTTATCAGAATATCTATAATTTCACACAGTTTATTGGTGTAATCTATTCTTTCATGTCTAAACGATGTGGCCATTTTTGTAAACAGCAAACGATGGCCAATGATATATTATGAAATTGAGCCATTTGCAATTGATATAAAAACATACTTTTTTTTCAATCAAATCTCGTTTCATATAAGTATATAAATTACCTACAAGAAAGTTCGATATTGTCTCTATATTAAAATATAATACGTCCAAGCGTGGAGTATTGCTGTCGTGTTTGGGATGATGCTCCTGTGACCGTATTGAACCTCTTGAACAAAATTCGAGAAATAATATTTTATAGATATTTTAATGGGCTGTGTTCTTCTGAACTGTCGGAACTTGTTCTCCCAAAGTACCGTATTTCTTCTTGTATAATACGCACCTAGATTTTAGTATGTTGTTTACAGGAATTTATCAAACTCTATGCATAATACGCATATAAAAATTCCGTCTCTATCTTATGTTGCAGGTGTTTTTTTCGGCAAGCGTTTCAGACATTCTGTCTGCCTGCCTTTTGCTAACTATGTATATGAATTTGATCATGATGTTTTTTGACAATAGAGTATCATGTAAAGGTATTGGTTCTCCTCCTTAAGCTGAGAAGACCCACGTCAGAATGTGTTTTTAGACGCCGCGCTTCAAAGAGACACCGTCGGTTTGAGTGACTTATGGTGATTTATAACAGTAAAGTTTTGCCGATTTAGCGAAACCACAGAAACAAACCAGACAATGACAGCAATCAATGGATGTACAGCGTATTTATATCACTTTAATTTCACTGTTTTTTTCCGACGCTCGAGTTAATGAACTGTTTCGCCTTTATCAACACCAAATTGTTGTTGAACTGGATATGCTTTTATATAATCAAGCATGATCTGATTCTACCAGACTTTGCCACATGAAATTAAGAACTTAAGAATAATAAATGTGACAATTATAGCATAAAATGAGAATTAATATTTTTCAATATTTTCTAGACCAGGGATAGCGAACCTTTTTCGATGAATGGGTCAAAAATTATATTTTAATCACGGAGCAGAAGAGTGTGGGTCACAAATATTTTATCAATGTTAGTATTACATGTGTGAACACGTGCATCCAAGATTGGGAGTTCCGAAAATTACCATACCGATCCGGAAATTTGAATTTGAGCGTTCGCAGGTCTGGCTGTCCAACTGACGTTACAAATTGTGCAGACGGACTGAAGCCCATTGGTAAGGGGGTAAATTGAATTGGCTAAGACGGACAGTCCCCGAACTCGTAATAGAACTAAAATAGGGGAAATCGGAATCAAATTAGAGCCTAACCCTCACCTGGTACACACACACTAAGGGAGTACCGATTTTATTAGAATGCACAAATACCACATACTTATTTAGCTTAACACTTTCAGTCGGGGTTACGCGAAACTAACTTTCCTTGCTTTATTCTTTTGCGCAAATGGATCAGTGTGCTTGTAATACAGAGATGCCTTAGCAAGAATAAAGATGACTACTCAAGAATCTTGAATCAACTGAATGCTTATTTATTTAAAATTGTGGATCGACCAAGCCTTTCAACAAAGATGCATTCCTTCGTATGTTTCTACAAAAGCTAATATTTCATTTCATATGTGCGTGAACAGTAAAGACAACATAGCTTAGAATAACATTGTAATATTGACTAATGTTATTTAGGAAATCAGCCGGCGTTTTAATACAGGGGCTTATACGTAATATAATAATTCATATAACATGTTGCATAACGGAGATCCATTTTAATACATCACTTACGTATTTTGTCCGAAATTCACTTCAAATGTTGTAAAATTATGTTGCATCATACCATCAACTAAGAATATAATAATAATAATATAAATAGTACATCTAACTTGATATATTGACACAATTGGGCACGAATGATGTCAGGGCGTAGCCCCGTACGAAGTTTACAAACTGTACTTGTGTTACCTCTGACATCTGCGTATCCTCTCACAGAATGAATTGAATTAGTGGCAAAGCAATGATATCTTCCTGAGTCAAAAGGCTTGGCGTTGTTTATCACAAGTCGAGAAAATCCGTCATATTTTATCTGATGGATTCGTCGATTTAATCCTTCGCTGACAGTTCTATCCCTTCGTTGCCAACCAACAATTGGAATTGGATATCCTGATGCTCTACAGTCAATCGTAATGCTTTCTTTTCTCTTAATAACTGGTCGTTCGTTGGAAACTCTCAAGCCCCATGGTGGAACTAAAAATTAAATCATTTTCATATACAATTTTAGTAAAATTGCTCAGAAACGCACGCCCAAAACGGAGGCAGGAATTAGGACTATTTGTAGATGAGATATTCACAAAGAAGCACATCACAGGAAATATAACCGAGAGTCAAATTTTGTTCTGCTAGTCGCCCAGGAAATGTAGCATATACAAATTATTTAATAGCTTAAACGTCAACACGCTCTGTTTTTATCGTCGATTCATCTACTATGTAACTTGTGAATATTATAAACAACGTAATTTGTGCATGATACTCACTTTTCTCACAAATGGGATAAATAGACGGATCATCGCAATCATTTTGTGACCATCCTTCACTTCCCATAATTAAACAGTTTTTAGAGTTTTCATCTTTTCGTATCCAATACTTAAGTGTCGGGTCACTAAATAAGAGTACAAAAGTTTCGATGGTTCTTTTTTCTTCCTACTAAATTGGTGTTTGAAAAATATAATCTTAATTATCTATCTTGAGCGAAAGTTTGTCATGAATACACATAGGGAAGAAATTTGGACTAAAAAAAAACCCAGCTCGTGTCTCAACTAGGCTACGTCAATTTTGTTTATTGGAGGCCGAATAATATTAAAAAAAATATTTACATTTTTTAAGAATCATACTCATAATACAGATAAAAGCATAATAATTTTGCTAAAGTATTTAGAAAGTATTCAGTTTAGTTTACAACATACTGTATAATTATGCTATCGAATATCTCTGTCATCTAATAAACAATAGAAGCGGTCCGCTACGGGAAGAAAGCATTATGGAAAAGTTGAAATACCTGGCACACTTTTCGCGAATCTCAAAGAACGCCCTATCGTTAACAATGTCTACAATTCTACTTTGATTCTTTGTGCACATCTTCTGTGCATCCCAATAGGTCATAGTTCCAATGCCTGTGTTTGTAGAGTTTGTATCTCCGAAAGAAAGTTCAGCGTATAGTACGACGGTTGGAGTTTGTCAATTCCTGCATAATTACAATATAGTATAAGTGTTTAGGTTATAATGCTAAAATATACATTCTGCGATGGCAATTTCCACGTCAGAGAATATTGCTACAGCGGCAAATATTTCTAAATACGTATTACATATAAAATACAACTAAGCTACAGAAATTGTACAAAAACAACCGATTATCGTTGCAGCGTGAGAACCTCTGATAAAAGTTTTTATGTTCTACTAAAGAAAAAACACCAATAACGACCTAAAATAATTAACATGAAATAAAAAATGAACACAGCATTGAAATTTAAATATATATTATGTACACAAAATCTTCTCACACCAATAATTTTAACTTACTAGTTTGGCATATGAATCCAGTTCGAGTGCCATAGAAATATGGCTCTACAAACCACTTTAAATCAGAATCCGCAAATGTAACATACACGTCCGCTGTAGTATGGGACGTTTTTGGTTCATTCTCAGCCCTTTAACATTAAATAACACACTCAATATTATAAGGGGTCGGAAACAATTTAAACACAAAAAGTAATAAAAAGTATTACCATTTAGTAAATCCGGCTTTGAGCTTTTCCCCATTCATCCAATAGTATTCTTTGGTTTCTCTAATCTTAAATGCACCAATCAAGACTTTATTTGATGTACTGAAACACAAAATATGTTTGATTCTTTTACTGGAATATATGTATTTCTTTCAGAACGTTTATTGCTTTCCAACATCGTTAGACTAACAGTATTTAGTCAGTTTAATAAAATAAAATAAAAATAAAAACACTCAAAAAAACACACACGCACAGAGAGAGACAAAATCAATAAAATTCACTTGTTTTTCAAGAGTTCTTTCACTGCTTCATGTAAATTTTCATTATCTGTAATCACCAATCTTGAGCCAGGCATTTTTACAACACATTCGTAAATAGCAGTTTGATGGGAGTAATATGCATCTTTTCCATAGTTATAATAGGTTAATTCATAGTCTCCGACGTACAACGTGTCGATTAATTTTCCTGCAACGATGTAAATAAAATATCTTTGATAATTGTTCATCTATATTTTTCATAAGAATTTGTAACATTTCACCATGCATTGACGTAAATAATTTATCCAGTTTATCAAAATGTATTCATTGTGTGTATCCGTTATATCCAGGTTGATTTGAAGAAAACGAAACTTAAAAAAAAACCTTTTTTCAGATATCACCACGGGAAATGTTTCATAATTTGTTACATATGTGCAGTACAGTTACTTACAGTTTCACTTTGAACTGATGTTGAATAATTTTACAAATCAAAGAATTTCAAAATTTTAGCCACTCTAATTGATAATCATTGAAGTATTTCTGTGCAGCTGTATTCATTTACAATCAACGATTTTATATTTACTTACCTTCATTCTGCGAAATAAAGAAAACAAATGCTAATCCTAAAATTTTCATTGTCTGAAATTCCATTTCTATAAAAAAATCTGAAAAAAATATTTATGCTTCTATCAATATTAAATAGAATGATACATGTATTTATTAGGAAACAATACCCAGTTATCACAGAATATTTTTGTAAAATAATTTAGTTAGTATGTGGATTCAAAAATTTCAGTGGCAAATGTTTCCAAACCAAATTAGTGCGCACCATACTGAGGCCTTAAATTTCAATAGTGATTCATATATCTAAAGTTATACGGATATATAGCCGTTTGCTTGAAACAAGACTAGAGAAGGTAACGAATATGAAGGCGTTCGTTTAATGTTTTCAATGTTTTTAAAAACTCTTTCTATTTTTTGATGTTGACTTCTTCAACTGATTCCATTCGATAACAGAATTTTTCCACATAACAAAAAAAGAAAATGCAAGGTATTTCTCTAGAACGAAGTTTTATAATGAAAATCAATTTTTTCAAGTTGCAAATTTTGAAGAATCGTTTCTTTATTGACAAACCAAAAAGCTATTGGGAGACCGGTTTGGCATTACCTACACAATGCATTTGTGGGCACAGGATCTGGACCCGGGATGTGTAATTCCAACGCTTTAACAATTAGGTCCCGTACCTACCATACGTGCTCTGGCGTCAGCAAAATTTATATTCACTGATATGCTGGCTTTTTCCGAACAGAAGATTTTATATAGCGATTGGTGTTTTTGCGAACAAATATCGCTCAAGGCATTTTAAAAATCTTAAGTAAAAGAACAATTATTACATGTTTACATTATTACATGTCGCTTTGACATCGCAATTTGATGCTATTGAAGGTATTCTAAATATACATACGTTATTTAGTCATAAAGTATCCACTTCCACTATAATACATCTGGTATGAAAAAGGTACACATCAATAACTGAAATTATATTTGGTTTTAATAATCATATTTGCAAAAAGTAATAACAAGAACTGAACAGAGTCATATTTCTCGCCGACCAATTGCACTTTAACTATACAACGTCCAAGGTCATATTTAGCCTCTTTACCTCACCCCCATCCTCGTGGATTCTACACGTTATATGGCAGGGATGAGCTGAAATTCTAGCATTGCAGTCTCGAAAAATATCAACCTACCTATGGATATAACCAGATGTAAGCATAATCTATTTATTTTGTTTTGAATATGATCGTGAATTGCGTTATGACGCTGTTTGATGATTATGATTTGGTACAACAAATTGCAGTACGCTTATTTATTTTAAAAAGTATATTATTATGGAAGCATGTTTTTAAAGTTACAATGTGATCAAATTGGTCTAATTTTACAATTAATAAGAGACAATCGCTATCCAGTTTTTGAATTGTGTTGCCAAACTCCGCCATAATCCTATTTCCGTGTTTCCCAACCCGAGTACGCGGTCTCAGATGAGTCCGCGGAGCGGTTGAATGAGTCCGCAACGTGCCAGAAATTCACTGCGGGACGCATACGTTTTTGCGAAACTTAACTATCAGCCAAGTTACGATTCACGTTAGAATTTACACAAAACATAAAGAGCAAGTTTATTCACATAACATTAATCGAGTCAATAGTTAATTGTTACTGAGTAGTGCTGGGCATATATTCCAATATTCTACTATTAGAATAGCAATTACTATTCGAAAATTGGTAACAAGTGGCGCAACAGGTCACTTGCGCGTCGCTTAATCAAACGATTGGATTTCCCAACTCACTTGGCGGATTTCCGACAAAAACACGAGTCTGCACACGCTTCAATAGATACCTAAGTGGTGTTTCCCGCGGGTTCGAACAACAAGGAATAATTTTTTTTTCCTTCCAGGTGTCAACCCAAATTTTCTTACTTGAAAAGCGGCAATACAAAATACGGAAAATAAAACGGAGAATAGCACAAGTTTTGTTTTATATATGATTGTCCGCGACCGATTGAAAACGCTTTTTTAGACATTGCCAATCGCAAAATTTCGGGTGCCACCGAAGTAAACGTACCAGGGCATTTTCCCTTAGGATTGTTTGCATTACCGCCTTCACATTGGTACGTACAGTGCTGGAGCGCCGTAAGTGTTGTACGAACAACTCAGATTTGTCGAATTCACAAAAATACGAATCAAAACAAAATGTAATCGCATTTTTGTGTCCACGGTTTGTCATGATATTTTCTGAGTAGTATTGCTTTTATTTCGTCAACATAACCGCAGATTAAAATGATCACAATTAAATTAATAATAAAGCAAGGCGATTAATGTATTTTTAATTTACTAATATACTTTAAATACATTTTTAATAAGTACTAAATCAAGTTGTACTTTCTGGAAATTTATAGCAGATAGTAGGATTGTTCTTGAGGCAATAACAAATTCGCAAGAGCGCAAACAATATATATGTATCAAAACTAAATATAATCGGGCGATTGCCGCAGATTGTCGTAGTATTTTAAAGACGTAATGCTTTAATCTTCCGTAAGTCGACGCAGCCGCGAGTTACCATGAACCCAATTAAATTAAAATAGAAAAACATTTTAAATTCTCGTCGTTGTCATGGACTGAATATTGTGCGACAGAACAGGCCATTATACACTAACAAGTCGGCTCTTTTAACGAACGCGTAATTGCAGCGAATTTCCCATTTTGAAAATCGTTGAAATTCTGTTGTGTTTGGTTTTATTGGTTCTTTACACAGAGTACGGTTGCACTAAACGTACCTTGAGTCCGCAAAGGTTTTCGCCGGTGAGAAATTAGTCCGTGAACAAAAAAGGTTGGGAAACGCTATCCTATTTGATGCAACTCATATTTCTGATTCATAACACAAAAGATATCAAATTTCGAAGTCAACCAAGAAAATTATTTCGTTGCCCCTTTCAATGGACTTTCACACAGAAACTTAGATTTATACTGCTGCAACTTTCAATCAATTTATATCACAAGAAACAAAAAATTGATCATTATTATTCGAAATCTGATTTTTTAACATAGTCATCAAAAGTATTTGCTGAATAATGGGCTAAAAAATCGTTCGTTGTAACAATGGTGTAAAATAACTTTGTCGAAAATAGAAGCAAGTGTTCGACTGTTTGAAGCAGTTCGTAAAGTTTCAATTTAAAAAAATATGTGTACACGACATGTTGAGCGCGGTAATATCTGTCTTTTCCATCTTCATAATACGTAAATTCATAGTCTCCGAAGTATAACTTGCGATCAATTTTCCTACAAAGATGTAAATAAAAAATCATTGATAAATCCTTATCTATATATATTCATAAAATTTTTTTAACATTTAATACACCATGTATTGCCGTAACTAATTTCTCCAGTTTATCAAAATGTAGTCACTGTGCGTGTGGCCGTTATACCCAGGTTGATCGAAACGAAACTTAAAGAAAAGCCTTATTATTCAGATATCACCACGGGGAATATTTCATACTTTGTTACATATGTGCAGTATAGTTACTTACAGTTTCACTAGTTGAAGCAGTTCGTACAGTTTGCAATTTAAAATTCCAAGAATAAATCTGAATCACACACTGTCTTATATCTGATAACGATTATAATCTGTAATTCGTTTATATTCGTGTATATTTGGTTGAAGGAATTCGTAGTAAGATTGAATGATTAAATGTGAACAATGCGAAAAGTGTTTTTATTCGCCTGATGTGAAAGTATTTTTAGTCCGACAACATAGTCCATATGATCAACTTAGTCACCACCATTAACATGGAAAACAAATTGCCAAAGTTGACAACAAGTTCAATATATTCGGTTGGTGCCATATTATAAAAGTTGAACATCATTCCAACACAATTCAGAAAAAATTCGCTTGTATAAAATTTATGTTCCACATAATTTGATTAACAAGCGATTGTTTGATTACAATCATAAGCCAATAGAAATAAATCGTTTTATTCATTATATTATATTTCATTATATTCATCAATATGGAACTACCATTAATTTAATTTTTCGACAGTTGTGGGCAATATTTGTTATTGGAAAAAATTATTCAAATTATAACATTAATAACTAAAGATAATTTTTTGCGCAGTATCTAGCTGATGGCTCTTGATTTTATTCAAATTTTATGTTTCTAACATATTTTTAACGAATTATTAGCCAATTCTAATTGACACTAACTCGGAGCATATTTATCTACAAAACTTCGATGCTGGTCGTGTTAAATAGTTATATAGATATTCATATCGAATTGCATTTTGATCCTAAATTTGAGGGCCATCCAGAGTAATTTCTATACCCACTGATTATATCTGAGCTTATATATTAGAAAAAACCGTCTTTACAAAACGTTTTTTTGCACGTCCGTATAATAAATGTTCTTTACAGTAAAATTTTAACGCGAAATTATTTGATTCATATCTACTTCAATATCGATAATCGATATTATTTCAATAAAAGTTGTTTCAACTTTGCCCTACCTACAACCTGAATCACTCGTATCATTTTTAATCATAAATTTTTTATTGATCAAATTTTTATGCACATCTATATATGCTGGACTAAATAATATA